GAGCTGCTTGTGGCGAGCTTTGCCGAGCTCCTTGGAGAGCTGCCTAGCTCCTTGGCGAGCTCTTTGGTGAGCTACCGAGCTCCTTGGCGAGCTCCTTGGTGAGCTACCGAGCTCGCGGGGTATGCCGTTATCGGTGGGCGTCTTATGGGTTGCTAGGTCGGCCAGGTTGGATCATGTGCCAGGCTGATCCAGCCAGGTCGCGCAGGTTGTGCAAGCCGTGCAGGCCACGTGCAGGTCGCCCGTAGGCTACATGCAGGTCGCGCCAGGCCGACCAGACCGGTGCCCGGGTGGGACACCAACTTGGTAAGTTGTTGCCTGGGTGTTTGCCTACTTGTCACGAGGTGCCACGTGTCGTAATTTCACTGGAGGGCAAAATCTGCCCTCATCAATTCCCATAACTACTCGTCACAGCATGCCACACCATCTGGAATTGGGCAAGAGTGTGGAAGGGGCCGGGAATCATGACAAGATGGGCAGGAAGATAGGAAAAGGAGAGTCGGGGAGAATAGAGGGATGGATGAAAGAGATAGTATTGGCAACTGATTGAGAAATACTTTGGGAAATTGGTTTCAACTTTCAACTGAGGTAGGAGTAAAACCTTTGCAGAGGAAGGTAATACTCATTAGAAGAATTGAAAGAGGTATTTTAGTATAAAATAGGATATGAATTGAAAGAGGTATTTGAAGGGAATTCAGATTAGCTGAACACCGTAGCTGTGTAGCAGGCTGTGGAACCAATTACAACGCTCCACGCCAAATCAAAGATTCATTGAGAAGGGCCAAATTGGATATGGTGCTGTTGCAAGAATCTTAACCATTTGAGTTGAATATACACAATGGATCAGTCATTTGAACCATAATGAATGTTGGTTGGGCTATTGAACCATTAGGGGGGTTTCAAAGGGAATAATTTCAATGTGGGACACTGAAGTCCATGAAGGTATCAGGGAAATACTTGGTGTTAGTGGAACTGAGAAACATCGACGAAGACTTTCAATGGGTGACTGCCAATGTTTATGGTCTTTGTATATAGGGAGAGAAGGAAGTTATGGGAAGAGTTCTTTGCCGTTAAAGGACTTTGAGAGGGATCATGGTGCAGCGAAGGGGATTTTTAATACCCACTTGATACGCATTTGAATCCCATAAATATATCTTTATCTATATACTATTTATAATATAATATAAGTCTATTATTTATATTATATAATTATATAAAATTCAAAAACCCAAAGAACAGAAGAACCGAACCGATCAATCAGTTAACTGATTGGTTTCAGTTTTTGGTTTTTCAAAAATCGACGGTACCAGTTTGATTTAAAAAAAAAAAGTTCCCATGGTTCGTTTTGGTTAACCAAACCGTGAGCACTCCTATTTAACGGTGCAGGCGTTCAATGGTTGTTCATCTTTCTAGTCTAGTCTACTGCCAATCTCATGTGCCAATTTCAAGATTTTAGCAACCAAGAAATGTGAAATTCCTTTGATGCCAAAACCTCCGGATCATAATACTTGGCATGATTCCAAGAGGTTGATTGGTTGAGTATATTAATTCTTTAATCTTTCTATGTTAAAGAATGCCTTTTTCATTCTACATTTCTACTAACTTACTGATTTCTGTTTTTTCAAAAAAAAAATAACTTATTGATTTGACGATTTCTATGTATTTTACTCTGTACCTGGGAAAAGGGCTGATATCATATTAATTTCAGATTCTAGACGAACGCCAAGGTGGCAAGGTTCAAATATCATTAGCAAATTTAAGAAATGTATAATGAATGATATGCTTTGGGAACCATATGATGGAAATTTGAGAAATGACACTAATATATAGATTGTATAAATACATCAATGAGGCTAAATCTAAACTTTAATTGACTATAAGCAATTATAAAAAAGAAACAAATTGATGGTTTATGCGAAGTGTGAATTCATAGGGTACACTTAGGAAATAGTGAGAAATAGTAAAAGAATTAAAATATACATATAATCTTGGGTAGGGATGGTAATGAATAGGGTATCCACAAAAATTATCCTTCCCATTTCCAAACTTGCCTAAGCTTCCTTCATCTCAAATATTTGACTATGATATCAAAAGAACTTATTATAATTAATTGGTATCACAAAAGTGGTAACAAATATAATGTTTTTTATTAAAATTCATGGGGGATTTTGATTGGTAATATCATGTCTTTCCAATATCATAGATTTCCTCATACCAAGGATCAAAATTTCATCATGTATCGGCCAATGCGTATCGTATCAGAGCCTTCCTGATACACCCCTACAGGGGGGTGTTTCGGGTCAGCGAGTGATTCAAGAGGTAGACCGGACTTAAACCGGCCCATCTGAACCAGTTTCGAAAAAAAAATAATAAAAAAAAACAATACTGATACAGGCCGATACACCCTACCGGTGTATCACCTTGTATTGATATTTTGAACCTTGCCCCATACTTATAATGGGAGTTGGTAATTGTGTTAAATATAATTGGGTTTGGGTATTACATATCCTAAGGGCAAAACCCAAACCTATAGGATTTTGATAAATGGGTCTTATCAAGGTTGGGATGGATCTGGTATCTAAAAACTCCCACAAAATTTCCAACCCTAATCTTGAAAACGAACAGTATAAGCCTATAGGGAGTAGAGGTATATGAAATATGGGATAGGGAGTTGCATGAGTTAATATAGGAAGTTAATAGTCAAACTGATGAGAAGTCAATGGAAAAATCTATGATGGTGGAAAGACATGGCAGTGGAAGATCTTTGACATTTGACCAATCAAAATCCACCTGTGAATTTTGATAAATACCATTTGATAATAATATTGATTGATTAGTTACAAGTTTTTCAGATATGATATCTTTCCCGTATGATAGTCCAACCCCACTCCATGGTCCATGGATACAGCCATACAGATAAAACAACATCAAAACTGGGCCATTCCACTTGTGCCACATGGAAGCTAGTTTGAATTTACAACCCATCTAGTTATTATTGGTTGGGAGCTTAAGTGTCAAAATCATTCCTGCAGTTGCTGGAGATACTAGGAGGAGAGATGGGATTTCCTGAAGGCAAGAAATGGTATCCTGAGAGCACGGCATCCAGCCATATATTGAGATTATCACCCCATGAGTTTAACAAGTATAGGAGATATTCCTAATGTACAACTAGATAATATGCTCTCAGGGTGTTTACACCATTCTTGCCTTTAGGAGATCCGGCCTCCTAAGCTAAGAGAAACTTTTGCATGCCAAACCCACTTTCATAAAGTAAATGTTTCATAAGGCAATAGACGTAATTCATTTTTAAAATTGATTACTGAGTTTGCTTCATTATGTGAGGAAAAAGAAAGGCCCTCTTAGAAAAAGGGCCATTACCAAATGTTGTCTCGGCTAGTCAGGATCTTGGGAGGGGTGAAGTGGATATGGACCTAATCTTTCGCAATTCTCATTCTGATACAATTTTCCATGACAATTGCTTAATGGGCAAAAAGGTTATATTCATTCCTACAAAGGAATTAAAATTGAAGGAGGAGACTGTTTGTCTCTTTGCATATTCTGATATTCATTCAATTTAGGTGTTTTTAATTCTGATGTTCATCAGATTGAAAATATTTGAAGATTACTTTTACCTACCTAGGTTGAGTTGTTTGTATTTAATGCTTTTCTTTTATAGGCAGATCGGGCTTTGTATTTATTAATCAATCTTCCATTTGTATAGATTTTTTAGAGAGGTAAGGTATAGTAAGGTATATGACCCTCTGTTATTGGTCTTCATTTTTACTCAACAAAATTTCGGTGGACACCCCTCCACCGGGAGTAAAAATTGGAGTTAAAAAAATAATCTTTTCATCACCTTTTACCAAAAAAAAAAAACAAAACAAAGGAAAAGCCGAGAAGAGGATCTCTTTTTATGAGGAAAAACCATCACTCTAACATATTAATTTGGAAGAATATGCAACTAGTTTTGGTAGGAATACTCAAGTGAAAATTAAAAGAAGTTGGGAAGAAAGACCCTCCTGGACTTGGAACAGTCTTATTATATAGAGCAAGTTCAAACTACAATACAAATTGGTTTTGAGGGTCACTGAAAGCAAAAAACTGAAGATTCAGGCAGTTTCTATGGTTTTAAATGTTAGAAGCCCTCCTAATATATCTATCCATGAATTTATGAAAACAAAAAAAAAGAGCATATATGGCATTATTCGATGCTTGATGCTGAAAAAATATTATCAACGTATCGATACTTTGATCCATGGGCTTGTAAATTTTCAATGCTTTTAAGTTCGAACATAACAATGCCAAACAGCTTATGAAGACGCATTTCTTCATCATGCAACAATTGAATCTCAACGGCAGCAGTTTGAAGAAATGAACCTGGAAGAGCCACCACCGGGACAACCATCGCTTTCAATCCCATATTGTTTCAACATACAATACATATTGTTTTTTGGGGTACCGATAGGCTATACCATGGTTTTGAAAATCAGACTGGACTGGATGGTTGGACCGGTTGACCCGAGAACCATTCAGGCAACTGGTTCCGTTTCACCATAAAACTGTTCCTGGGCCAAAACCGTTAATTTGGTCTGTAACCCACTGACCCGGGCAGTCAAACCATCAATCCAGACAACGATTTTCAGCCATTTTTTATACTTTAATTATTATTTTTTAAATCAGAACCAGCCATCCATTCAAACCAGACAGACCATTTGACCTGGGAACCGGTGGCTAAAACGATTCCATGTCCGGTCCAGTTTTTAAAACCTTGGACTATACTATACATTGAGTGATTGAGAATTGGCTAGGTTTAAATGTCTTATATGATGATTTGCTTACGCAAGGCACTCCTGAATCATCACACCTCCCACAAACTGCAATCCAGAGTCCAGACTCTTATGAGACCGGCTTCAGTCGGGGCAAATCTATGCCCGGGGCAAATCTATGCTAACTTCTATACATTCTCAATGCAAGGCAGTAAAAGCTTCGACTTTTATGTCAAAGTGCGAGATTAACATGGATTACTTACAGTGAATATGCCGAGGTGTGAATTGTGATCAGTTGGATTTGTTGTTGAAGAGATAATTGGTTATCAACACATTCGGGTGTCCAGATGTGAGATCGCATTACCTGCAACCAGTCGCAGAACAATTCAGCAGCCCAAGTGAAAACGAACACATCACCCTTTGCAATTAATTCAACATATCGCATCAGTTGATTTTTTTTTTATTTTATTTCTAAGGGTGGTGGTCGCTCGCAAGATTGGCTTCTATCAGGGCAAATCTGTGCCCACACCATTCTAATAGAATTTTGTAAAGCATCTGCTCGAATGGGCTTTGCCCTGACTGAAGCCGATCACATCGCCCTGAACTGTTCTGCGACTAAGGTCAGAGGTAATATTGGAACGCAAGTTTCGCTTAGAGAATGTCTTTCAGGTGTCAAGATGGAAACTGGAAAGCTTCAGAAAGAAAAACCATTTCTGACAATTGGCTGAGAATAACCTTCTTGAGGTGCTTATCAGAATCAGATTCAGAATAAACATGATTCAGGATCATATGTAAGCCATTTTAATTCTTTGAGAATTATCAGTTCCCAAAGCAAAAATTTAAGGACATCATAAGTTCATAGTCATCTCCATAGAAAGAAAATATACTTCCATTCAAAGTTGCAGTGATTATTATAATCAGAAAAGCATTCATGAACATGGGTCGCAGAGTACAACTGATGAACCTCTCCAACTGCCTCCAGCCTGAAAAGTCATATTGCCTTGGAAAATTTTGTACATTTGCCATATCTTGAACCAAAACAAGATTAAGTCACATTCTGTGGCTTTAACCAGTAAAGCAGTCAGTAGGTTAAAACTTCAAACCATTATCTTGAAGGACGTAATTTGATAATGAATGACCCAGGGGCCTATCATTTGTATCGTTTGGACTTGTACACCAATTGGACAACAAAAACATCACTGCTCTGATATTGCCCCAGATGCCTAGTTCTGACATCTATTCTATTGTGAATAATAAACAACAGTCCTGGCTTTGAAGATTTTCGCATGTCAAAACAACATTGACAGTTACATTATTTTAACATATCCATTCTCCTAATATTCCGAATGATCAAGGTGATCTTCCCATGTATGAATTACAAGAGTTTCCACTAAAGAACCATGGATAACATTTTGCTTCTATTCTCGCAAAATGGATGGAGATGAAAAAAGATTTAACTAAATTAAGGCTGCCTCATAAAATCTGAAACATTAGCACTTTAAAACCTGTGTATTTCACACCTGAATAGGGAACCTTTAGCATGTCCTATATGACATGCACTATATGCTATAAGCATAAATGGCAAAATTTGGTGTATCCCCCCCATACCTCTGTACAACCAAAATCCAGTGTTTTGAGATGACATTTTCTTCTCAGGAACTCCATGCACTCACCTCCAAAAGAAACTGAGAAAGAAAGAAGATAAAAGAGCATGTGAGAATGCCAATTTCACAAGCTCAACTTTAAACCATATTAAAAGCATGTGTATTGTGAAACAAAACATATGTTGGTTAAGACTAAAGAAATGAGAAGCTCCAATGACTGAATGAACATGACAAAAAAAAGAGTATTATAACCATGCTTTTCCTCTCCCTATTTTTTCCCTTTTTAGATGTGAGTTTCATGTTTCTTAGGGAGAGACTGGTCAACAATACCTTCGCCTCATTGTTTCTTTTGCTACCCTAAGTTAAAATTGTAGGCCATATAGCATGTAATTGTGCATTGGCTACAAAACATGGAAGTACTGTTGCAGTGTTACAGTTGCATCGTTACTGAGGATACTGCTCATAGGACAACTGTTAGTTCAATTGAGGTTCTAATATGCAGGTTTGGGAGGGCTGAAGCACAGCAGCTTCTGGCTTTCAGAGGTGGGCCCTTCGTGGACATCTATAAGCCATGTTTGGCGGAAAATCCCATGAGCTAGAATCAGCTGTCAGTCAGTCAATTTAAGGGCTGTCCACTTCAGCCTCTTTGAATAGCTTATCAGGAGCTCTTCAAAGAAGCTGAACCAGGCCCTGATAATTAAGGATGAGCATTGTCAAAAAAAAAAAAAAAAAAAAAAAAACAAAACCAAACTGAAATTTTCAGTTTTGGTTTTTTTGGTTCGGTAAAATTGGTCTTTGGAAACTTTGGTTTCAGTTTTGGTTTTCAAATTTGGAAATTCAGTTAACCAAAAACACAGAATTAACCTAATTTCATTGTATAATATATATATATATATATATATATACCGAAAATTCAGTTTTATTTGGTTTTCATTTTTTCAATTTTGGTTTTATTCGGTTTAGTTTTTAACCGAATGCTAAATGCTCACCCCTACAGATAATCAAAGTTTATGGGGTTTGGCTGATATTATAATGCTGTCAATATAGTGAGAAGATTACTAGTCATCTGGTCTCTTTATGCAATGCATAGTTGTCAAGGCGACTCCTAGGTCTTCTTCTTCTTCTTTTCCTATAACAAAAATAGGGGTTCAGCCCCTATATTTTTTAATTTTCTTTCCTTTCTTCTTTTTCTTCTCATAAATATGTTGATTTTCTAGACAAACATGAAATTTATAATTTGCTTATGAAAATTATGGATAGTTATTAAAGAAAGTTGGTTATGGAACCTAGGGAACTACCCTAGGATATGTGATTTTTACTTTAAAAAACCCATCGCCTAGGCAACTAGGCAACAAGGCGCCCCCCCCTGTCGCCTAGCCTCGCCTTGGCGCCTTGAAAACTATGATGCAATGTATCAAATAATTAATTCCTGGATACTGACTAAACCTTTTTTAAGAATTTGTGCTAAAAATAAGACAATAATGCAATTTCGTACATATAATTTATGTTTTAAATATGCAACATGCAGAAAGGGAGAGGGAGAGGGAGGGAGGCAGAGGGATGGTCAATCAAACTGGAGCACAATAGGAATACTTTGTTCATGGATTAAATACAGGATCATATGTAGAGAAAGTGGCTGAGAATAACCTTATCGAGGTTCTTATCAGAATCAGATTCATAAAAACATGATACAGGTTTACATACAAATAAAAGCCATTTAGAAGCTTATTATGGGTATTGACTAATCCTTTTTTAAGAATTTGCGCTAAAAATGAGATAATAATGCAATCTCATACATATAATATATGCTAATTGTTAAATTACAAGTGCTGGTAATAGGGGTATTTTAGTCTTTTTGCATTCATTTTCTTTGTTATTTAGTTGTTTTTTTCTATTTCAGGGGTAATAATGTAACTTCAGTTATATTTTAATTAAAGAAAAGTGGGGCAGCAGTTTGAGACAAGTCCTACTCAATCTCAGATTGCTTTGAGCCCTCGTTTTTCAACTTCTCTCCAACTTCAATCTGAACTGAATCAGCACTATTACAAGGGCTTTTAGCTCCCTATTTATTTTGTTCTTGTTCTGTTAACATTAGTAAAGATAGTAAATATGCAACATGTACATGTGTTATGCTAGAGAGAAAGAGAGGGAGAGGGAGGGAAGGAGGGAGATGGTCAATCAAACTGGCATGCAATAGGAATAGTTTGTCCATGGATTAAATGCTGGATGAAATGTAGAGAAAGTGGCTGAGAGTAACCCTCTTGAGGTGATTCCAAGATTCAGAATAAGTTTACAAACAAATAGAAGCTATTTAGAAGCTTACCATGCCCCTTTGGCCATAAGCATGATGCTTATGCCCAACTAAAATAAAGCAAATCCAGGTGAAGAAACAAGGATTGCAAGTTCAGAGGCATGTTCAAATTGATGCTGAAATCCTTGGGCTGGGGAAGAGAATGAAGACAGGGTGTGAAATTCCACGGCATTGTGGCTGTGGACAACAATTGAGGTTGAAGTTATTGATAAAAAACACTATTACCTAATGTTTGTCTCAGCTTTCTGGATCTTGGGAGGGTGGAAAGGATGAACCTAATATTTGTTCTCCACCATAAAGTGGCCACTCTCAAATATGAAATTGCATCCTCGTGCTCATCATCCCAAGACAAATATTACACCAAGAAATAGATCCAATTGTATTTAGTGTGTATTCAAAAGGCAATTCTCAAGCCATTGTATTGCTTGGGAAACAGAAGTGGTGGTTGTACATGCTGATTTGGATCACAAGTGAACCCTTGAATGATTTAGCAGAAATAAATTGAGAAAGACTAACAATGATTTAAACATTACACTTTAGGTAAGGTATTCTATCTATTAAATCCTTTCTGGCTGACCTCCTTGCATTTTCTCTGAATTTGTAGTTTTAAAAGTGATTTGTTACAAGTTGAATGGTCTAGAAGAGCTAGGGGCACACCAAAATGAACATGAATTGAAGTAGTGAGGAATTATTTCAAAGCACATAAATTAACAATGAATATGGCACTGAATAGAGGCACAAAAGTTGGTGGAACATGCAGCCAACTCCAAATGGTTGGAACAAGGTTTAGTTGAGTTGAGTTATAAAACTTTAACATTTCAAAACCTTAGTATGGCCCAATGCCTATATTTATTCATGTTTTATGATATGATTACAAAATGAGAACATTTATGCCAAACATCCAGTGAGAGTTATACATCGGTCTAGCATAAGAGAGGATAAGATGACAGAACTTAAAATTTGATTGCATACAGCTCTAGGGAGAGAGAATGCAAACAATTTGTACCTCTATCATGTCACAAAATAAGAACCACAATACCTCAGTAGCTGCAAATTGGGTCTACAGATCAGAAAATAGGCTGGCAGATGGGTTGGAAAAAACAAGGGGTGAAAAGAGAGAAAATGTTCTGGTGTGGGGGGATACTCCATGATGTAAAAATACAATGACAAGGCCATCTCAATCTCAGGGATGACTGTCCTTTGTACATTGTTTGTTCTGATTTAATAAAATTTTATTCTTTTCCTGATCAAAAAATTAGAAAATTCTGTTTCATTGGAGATATGACTGACTTTATAGCCTAATTCACAAAACTAATCAACCCCCACAGTTTCTGAGCATACAGCTTAAAATCGTCACTTTTATAGATTAGAAGAGTTGAACAAATTACATAAACTAAAACCTATTGGAACATTCAATAAAAGAAAAGTAAAACAAAGAGTATGAACAGCATAGAATGCAAAATACTTGATAGGAAAATATTAAGAAAGAAAAAAAGATATTCAGTACGTTCGTAACAAAGTAATTCCTAACCTTTGCCGAAGACCATGCTGAACAACTCTGTTTTTGTCTAGTTATTTGTGTCTCTTAACCACTAACCAAAATATGATCTGCAGTTTAAAGATCCACAGAAACATTTTTTCTTCCTGTGGTACGAACTTTGGGTTCCGCTTATCCCATAGTCATATGTCAACTCTGTCATGGGAGGAATATGTCTGATTGCATAGAATGCAATGTGAATATGTGATTCTTTTTTGTGCTCTTGCAAGACTGGCTGCCAAAAGACATTAGGGGAACAACTGTGGTTCATAAAACGAGCCACATTCCCAAAATTCTTTGCAGTTATCATAACAGACTGTGGAGGCTTGCTGGTTTCTTTTGAGTCTCCAAGAACTTCTTCTCCTAGTAACTCAGGTACATAATTCCATTTCAACGAGTTGTCATAAGTGCGAGAGGAATCAAATATATACTCATCTTGTTCTTCTTCCTCACTGTCCTCCTCTACTTTTATATAATCAATGACTTCTCCTGCATATTCACAAATAAATGTACCTGCACGGATGGGATCCCAAGACCTGAGACCCCAACCTTTATCCTTTGTCTTAAACACCTCCAGGTGAACTTTTAAACCAGTCTGGGACACTCGATTTCTGCATTGAGTATAGCATGGGCAAGAGGGGCCACACTCATATATCAAGGGTTTCTGCATCACAAGAACACCATTTCCAGTATAGGGAAGATCGCCTGCATTCTTTTGAATGCAAGAGCAATTGGAATCACCTGGTTGGCACCCACCATGGCAATTACAGCCAAGAGAAGGTTCAGCTGAGCTGACTGGTTTTGAATGTTTCAGGGTAGGGAAATAAGTGAAATAAGCAGGGCCTTTCTCCTCATCAACATCATTTACAAGGGAAACAGGTAAATTTTCCATCCCTGAGGTCAGGTCAGGCAAGATAACACCAGCCCTAGTTGTGATATTCTCCTTCCATTGTTGAATAGATTTCCATATTGAAAATGCAGCAGGCTGCCCCTGTAGCCTTACCAATTTATATTTGAAAACGTTGTAGCCTGACTTCCCTTTCTCCATCCAAGATTCCTGGATCTTATAGAGACCATCATAGACATAGACCTTCCCTGTTGGGCTCCCTATATCCTTCATACCTCGAATAACTCTTACCTCATTAGCCCGACGCAAACTTTTCTCCAAAGCAAGGTTACCCCTTTCAAGCTTCTGATCAACTGCTTGTTTACTTTTCTTGTTAAAGTTTCCACCTTGGCCACTGTAAACCAACATATCTGGATCATCCACATCATCCTCATATGCTCCTGATGAAACAATGCTTACAGCCACAGGTTCTTCTTCTTGGTCATACCTGAGACTCATGTAGTCTATTCCAGCCATACATGGAGCATGCAATCCCACCAAGCACATCTCCATCCTGAAAAAGTAAACATCTCCAATCTCAACTCCAGGAACAGCTCCAATTCTCTTCCTTGTATTTGCCCGGAGCCCATTGTTTAACATGATTGTCCCAGCTCTCAGATCTGCACGTTTAATTGTCCCAGAGGTTGGCTCCCTTGCATCTTCAATTTGAGCAATCCTTCGCCTGATGGCATCAAATGTCATGAGAATATGTCCAAGTGACTCCCTATCACCATCACCTGTTGAGGATAACCTCACCCCTTGGCTTTCCCTCACTCTTTTGTTTGACTTGGTCTTCTGCTTCTCAGCACTGCTGGTAGCTTCCACATCTGTGAATTGAACATTGCAGCTACTAATATTATGGGCGGGGCGCTTCTGGTTATCACTGCACCCATCTTCTTCCATTGCTGACCTAACAGACTCACTCTTGTTTGCTGCTTGTGGTTGTGACTGTGCACCAGCTTCCTGGTGCCTGGAGCTCTTTTTTGATGACCCTACATTACCATTTGAAGTTCCTACAAACTGAGGCGGTTGGGGAGGAGCAGGTGGCCTAAACAAAGGCACTGGAGTGGTTGGAGTTTGTGCCGGATGACCGAATCCAAAAACACCAGCTTGAGTGGTTGCTCCACTCGGGGTCTGTGTGTGCTGTTCTGGTGGTCTTTGAGGATCTGTAGGGATGAAAAAGGGGTAAAATGCAGTGAACCCGGGAGGAAAGGGACCAAATGGGGGTGCATAGACAAAAGGAGGAGCTTGGGGAACAGTGAATGTGGTGAATCCATGCGGAGTTGGGAAAACGGGAGCCAAACAACGCAAAGGCCTTACATTCAGGACTCTAGACTTATCCTCAGCACCTGAATGTGGAACTGAATCTGGACTAGGACCTCGTTCCATTGAGGTCCCTCTGAATCAAAAGAACTAACTGAAAATCAACCAATAGTCCCCAATGGAAAACCTGAGGAGCTTCCTCTACCTTTTTCCCCCCTTTGCTTTTGCTTCTACCAGTATAACTACTGAATCACAGAATCTAATACCCATAGAACAACATTGTCTCAGTCACTATTTCTGCCCTTCATATCAACATGCAAGGCAGAAATGTCAAATACCTCAAAACAACAAAGCATGTTACAGATAAGGCTCGCAAATTTCCAGCAATCTGTCAAAGATAGGAAAAACCCAGAACAAATTAGAGATTCAGAGAAAGAATACAAAGAAATAGCCCTAAAATAAGTACAAAGATGCCGCACAAAATCAACAGAAAAACTGTTCAGGCACGATCAGAAACCGGCACAGTCCGCAGAAAGCAAGCTCTAAAGACAGATCAAACAAAAACAGCAATTCGAGAAGCCAAGAAACAGTAGTGGGAAACGAAGATCTCGACAAAATGAAAAACGATAAACAACAAAAACACTGATCTTTCCGAGATGTTTAGCAGATCAGAATCCGCGACAACCTGATGCATCAACAGCTCCACCTCCAAAAACCCAGAAAGTTAACAGAGAGATTAGAGCGAGAAACTACCTTCTCGAGATTTGTAGATTTAGGGTTTCAAAGACAAATGCGTTGAATTTACGAACACTTCCGCCTCAAATCAAAACTTTACTCTCTCTCTCTCTCCCCTCTGTGCTCTGTCTCCGCTCGATGCGTCTTTTGCTTTTCCTCTGGGTTCAATTTTTCAATTCGTTAATGTTTTGTTTTTATTTGGCCACGACGCACAGATGTCCTACATTCCGACAAGTGGCGAATTCTGTGGACTCAAAAGCGATTCTCAGCCGTCCGATCCTGTCTACCATATGTACTTGAAAAGAGAAATGGTAAAGGTGTTTTCGGGGCCCACACCAACCCAATGACATGATAGAGTGATGGGAAATGGCCATGCGCGACCTCCAAAAGCCACTCTTCGTTGCCACGTGGCCCACGTTGAAACAAAACTCACTTGAACAGAGCCAGAATGGATGCTCCTGTACGAATCCTCTTCGTACTGTACTAATCACCACTTGACACGTCGCCCTGATTGATGGGTCCCTTGTCTACGAAGCTGACGTGGGCTATCTTGATTTGTCGATTTTCACGAGTTGAACTGTAGATGATTTTGGAATCTAAATGGGTCCGCCCACTGGACTCTGGACTCTGCCTCCGTTCATACAATGTGACGAAATTATTGGCGGGGTGATCCGGCGGGAGCGGTTACGGGTGAGGAAGCCCTGAGAGCGATGACGTGTCGATCGTTCATTGACTGGGGAACTTCAATCAGTGCAAGGCCCGTTCGATCAGCCTTTACATCCTTGCATCGGGAATATCGAGATATTTGCAATGCAAGGCAATGATGGCTGTTCGAATGGGCTTTGCACTTACTAAATCCGGTTTCAGAAATAAGAAATTGTTTAGTCAACGAGTGATGGAGAAGGTAACAAAGCAAGCTCACACTGTTTCCGCGATGTGAGCGCCGCTTATATATGAATATGATTAGTGTGGTTCTTGTCTCGTTGTCTCAACTCTTTAGCCTGAAACAACCCGACCGGATCGGAAGATTGGTTCATTCGGACCACTAGCCGGTTTAAAATGGATCAGTTACATGTTGACAAATTAAGAAACATGCAGACCGTTAATTTGTAGGTGTGAATTTTTCTATCCCAGCTAGTCCACTACAATATACAAATGAGGATCTGGTTTGGAATCAGAATCAAAGTTCTTCAGAATCAGAATCAGAATGATCTATTCTCATAAACTGTTTGGTTCAAACAGGAATCAGAATGGGATTTCATATTTTCATTCCCTCAAATAGGAGAATGAAGTTCCACCCAGAATGGGAATAGAATTTCAATTCTACCTAATCAAGCAGTTGGAATCGAAACAACCCATGCCATTCCAATTCCAGACCTCTATTCCTGCAAACCAAATAAGATCTTAGCTTGACGATTGGCATAATCAACTAGTATTTTTTTAGTAAATTGCAAATTAGTACTCAGTAATTTGGGATGGTCTTATTTTAATACTTAAATGTTTGAAAAGTGTCAATTTAGTCCAATACCGTTAACGGATGTTATGGTGGATAATAAAATTATCAAATTGCCCTTTGTTAGTATGAACATCAATCAAATACATTTGACAAAATCGTTGAAACCTCTCTCTCTTTCTCAAAGGGAGGCTTCTCCTTGACTCCCTCTTCTCAGGAGGCCAAAAATGGAAATAAGGGTATCTCCATTAGGCATCTTCTCAGCATTGCTGCTCTCATGGCCTCTTATTTTACATCGGAAGCAGTTGAGTCGTTCTCGTTCCAAGATAACTTCGTCGAAGATATAAATAAAAAGAAACCATAGAGTTTATCTTTGGTTTCATGATTTAAAGAAGCCAAATTATAAGTTGCTATTTCATTAAACAAACTTATCATTCTTCCAAACAAAGTGATACGGATTTGGGTGGTTCAACATGAAGCTCAAGTTGGTGGGAAGCGATTTGCTGATATGGAGTACAGATTGTTTCTTCAAAGCTGTCCCTGTCCCGGTCACTTCCACTAAAAAGTCTCACTTTTTCATTTATTGAACTATTAGGAGATATCTGATTTGATGGGTCAATGTATGCTCTAGTTAGTGGCAGAGTCAGAAATTTTTTTGGAAGAATGACTGATCAGTCCAAGTCAGAATTATGTAGCTTCAGTACAGGAGATGAATCATAACGGTAAAGTGATGCCAAATTCACGGACAGGATGCAGTTCAAAATTCTGCATTAGGTTGCAGAGTACTTAACCCATTTTCTCTATAGAAGTGTTCAAATCCAGAGAGGGATGAAGTAGATTTTGAGTTACTGGGGAACAAAAAAGGGCCCGACAGCCTACACAATATAGACCAACATTTAAAAGAACGGGGTTGGATGGCATGTGATGAGGCAAAGCCTATCAGAAAAGTGTCGATCCATAGACGAGTTGTAGACCTACTCTCTTTACGAGCTCAATCTTTAATCTTTTATTGAATGGGACACCCCAAGAAAATTTGCGGCTCTAGTTCAATCTTGAGGAAAATGATTATGAAAGGGTAATTTTGGGATTTTGAAATATTATAAATGACACATGACATCGTGTGAAACATGTTCATATTACTAAAGTTTAGGTTCTCTTTCATGAAACAAATTTTAAAAGTTAAACTATCAATATGTAAGAGTATGAGTGGGAAAAATTTGGCTGTTGGGGAAAAATTTGGCTGTTGGAAATGCCACATTACCATGAGAGTGGGGTAAAAGAGTAATTGCCTCTACTTTCTTTTGATCAAAAAGATAGACATGGGCATGAATGGGTTAATGTGTTCAGCCCAAAAATGCTCTCAACAGCATAGGCTGTTTGGCCCCCAATAGCTAGCCAAAGATATCCCATTTGAGAGAGTATAAGAATTTGAGTGATGAGAAAGAGTGAGGATAAGGGTATTTATAAGAGTTGGAATTAATTCAATTGATTAAAATATTCTTAAAAATTAGTTGTTTTATAGTTGTTGGGATGAGTATTTTGGTATTTAGAAAAGGTATTTCATCACTTTACCAAGATGCCCCAAACTACTTGTTATATAGCTATTGGAGAGCATTATTATCATTTTATTTCTCCAAAGTCAAAATACTTTACAAATGACTTCAAATTAATTGTTTATAGTTGTTTGTGAGGGTATTTATGTAAATCCCCCAAAATGTAAAAACGAGCCATTGGGGGGGTCCTAAATGACTATATTTGAAGTAGGTTATCTACATGACGTGCTGTATCGACCTGCTAAGAAGGCCGTGTCATGCCATGCTGAGCCCACTTTGTCCTTCTGTGTTGTGCCTGTCTATGAGCCTCAAAACCCAAGCTTGGCACGACCCATATCTTGTCCGGCCATGCCGGCCCATGGATGGCTTGTCCCACTTTACAACTCTAGAGCTTGCGAAGTTTACTTAATTAGTTATGCTAGTTCAATTTTTAGTGGGAACATGAGAGAATCTAACACTAGTGAATGCAGCTTACCTGATTTGGCCACATGTCACCATCTCAGGCATTATAGAAATTCTATTGCACGCATCACACTCATTTGCGTCTGGAAATGATGTGAATAAAGTGTAAATGAATGCATTTTTGTCCATATTACTGTAAAGTTGGGTTAATTTTGTATTTATAAATTTACTTTTAAAGACTTTTAGTTGTAATGGATGCAAACATGAATCCCAATATAGAAATATACATTTTCTATCATAACCACTTTGAATGCAAATTTCATTCTTTTTTATGTAAAATTACCTCTCATTTTAGGTGTAAATATGCCTTGAAAATTGTGTTTTCTATCATTGTCAATACCAAGGTTTTGAAAACCAACCCAGAAACAGAACTGGTCAAGAGACCATTTTTTGGGTCACTGGTTCAACAATCTGGGCCGAACGGTTAAACCCTAATGTCATAAATAAATTAAAAAAATAAAAATAGCATACAAATTAAATAAAATACAGAAATTACAGAAAAAACATCTAAATATAAAAACAATAAAATACAGACAACATAGAAAATTTCCAAAAATACAGGAAAAAACACAACAAAATGCAAAAAATACAGAAAAAATTCTGAATTACCATATGCTTTCCTATTCTTAAATCAGATTTGAGACAACATGAATCATAAGACCATTGGGTTTTTTCTACTGTGATTTGGAAATACAATGGCATTTTTGATGCCTATTTTCTGCAAGTAAATTATTGTGGCCTCACTGGGTTGTATTGCATATGATCTTTCAAATAACACTATTTTGATTCAAAAACAAAAAACTGTAAAATAGAACTATTATGATTAAAAAAATTTAAAAAAAAAAAACATCATCGTCGCCAATAATGGTGGTGTGCCGGTGTTGGGCTTACAAAGAGGAAAAAACTGTTGGTCGCCACTGCAAAAAGCCAAAAACTTCCGATTGCCGCTTTCCGCTGCAAATCCTTGTCGTTGCAAAAACAACTGGTCACTGCTAATTAAGAAAAATATAAAACAACTGGTTGTTGGTTATAAGAAAAATATAAAAAGTTAAAAACCTGCTGGTCGTCGTCGCAAATCCTTGCCGCTCAACCACCGGTCATCGGTCACCGTGAATCGCCGTCGCGCAAGTCGTCGGAGGTGAGCACCTGAGCGGATGACAGTGAGAATGGAAAGGGAACAGGGAAGAACGAAACTGCAAGCCTACAAAGGTTTGTTCAAACCCTAGCCCAATTACTTGGAGTTGGAGCATGGGCGTAATTTTCTTTTAGATTTTTATGTTTTTTTAATTTCAAAAAAAAAAATTGTAACATGTAAACTGCTGTCCAGAAAAGCGGTTCTCTAACCTTTTCAACGGTTTTCTAAGAATCCTGAGTTTTAGTTTAACTGGAACCGGAAACTTGATCAGCTCTCAATGTTTCTGATTTGACCGTCCAATCTGATCCCGTTTTAAAAACATTGGTCAATACATATGCTTTCTTACCAAACGCCAACAAAACTGAACCGGAATACTATTTGCACTAAACCGGCATTTACACCCTATTTGTACCATTTCCAAATACAGTCTCGCAATTGTCTCATATGCCCGTACGTGATTCGCAGGGTATTTTAGTAAGTCAACAGCATTGGGCATGTTTATACTCTTGAGACACGGATCTTTTATTTTGGGATAAAGTTAGTTATTT